TTTGTTCCTTTCTTCTTCCTTTTGTGCATGCTTTCTTAATAAAGGTAATGGCTGAATGTTACCAACTTTTTCTGTATTAAAAAAAGTAAACTCGAATTTTAAAACAATAAATATGTATCATTTATCATGGTTCTGTAGGCTGGCTAGATGCTTTGGAGTGTGATAGATCACCTGGGGTTAGAATGGCTTCACTCAGGTGCTTAGGAACTCAGCTGGGGAAGCTGTGATGGGTGGGATCTCTTCATGTGGCTCCTCATTAGCTGGAGGCAGTACAGGTCCCAGTAACATGCAAGAAAGGACAAGCCCCAATGCACACTTCTGAAATTTGTTTCTGGCCTATTGGCTAGTGTCCCATTAACTAAAGCAAGACATAAGACCGTGCTCAGATTGATGAGTTAGAGAAAAAGACTGCATCTCTTGGTAAGAGAGGTGGCAAAGTCACATTGCAAAAGGCCATGTGTACAAGAAGCAAATATAAGGCCACTGACACTATGTTTTGCTACACCAGTCTACCGCGAGAGATCAGCAGGAAGTAGACTCACAAGAGGAAGCTGTTAGGAGATAGACATTCTGTAGCAGACCTTAAAGGTCTCCAAGTATAGCTGGACCTCCCTGGAGCTCGCCTCCATTGCAAATTTCATTATCCTGCAATTCATCACCCCTTGAAGGTTTTGGAAACTGTATCAGACTAGATGTTGACAGAGGTACTCATGGCTAAGAGGAGGCCCCAAAGCAAGAGTGGAGCTTATTAAAGGAAAAAAAATGGTGCCAGACAAGATGAGCAGACAGAAGTTGATTTTATTCTGATACCATTGCCAGCAATAGGGCAGAGAGCCCAGAGCAAGTCTGGATACTTAGCCTCACTGAACCAAAAGGCAAAGAGTTTTAAACCTTGGGGATGAGCTAGTGGAAAAGCACTGGAGGACGTTAGAGGGCAGGTTGATCAGTGGGATTTATCGAGCACATTTAGTTACTCCTGAGTTGGCAAATATTTTTTTCTGTGGTTAAGCCACCTGTGTTTGCTAATTGGCACCCATAGAAGTTAGACTCCTACCCTCCACAGAAACTGGGAAGTTGGAGCGCTTTATCCTTCAGTGTTTACATTCCAAAAGGATTCATTGGTCCTTGAGAAAAACATTTCCTGGGTTGTAAAACTGGCAAGAGGCAAATAGAAGCTTTCAATACAACTCAAAGGGGCAGGGAAAGGATTTATAATGACAAGTTTTCTAAAATAAATGCTCTAAGGAAAGGGTGGTCAGGGGCCTAGAGTCATGGAGAAGTGTATGTAAAGTTTAGTCAGGCTGAGGGGATGGCTAAGACCATCTTGATCAAGTCCTTCAGAAGCAAAACACCCTATGTTATACCTCCGCACAGGGCTTCCTGGGCTAAATAAACATCTTCCTCGGGTCTCAGGTAATCACTGTCAGAGAGGAGATTATTTTACCCAGTTTAACATTTTACTATCTGTCCCAAAAGTTTTAAAGGAACTTTGGGGAAAGTCTCTGTTTCTATGTATAATTCATTTGTTTTCTATGCTGTTTTCTAAGGAGTAGTCAATGTCTCTCACTTGACTATTTCTCTGGGTCCCTACTATGAGCCTCTGACACAGTGATGTCTCTGCAGTGGTCATCATTTACTGAAATCCCCATTAAAAGCCAAGAAACTAATGTGCGTTCTATAGAAGAGAAAAATGAGGTTTAGAGACAATTGATTTGCCTAAAATTTTATAGATCAGTACAGCAAAGATGGGATTTCGACCAGCGTGCCTGACTACAATGCCTTTGTTCCAAGAACTTCTCCAACAAGCCAGTCTCAGTGTGAAATCTGGCCCCAGGTTACTTTGAGGGGTGCCCAAACTCTGTCTTAAGTATTGTTTAACTTCCTTTTTATTTTTTGTTTTCCCCACAGAATGGCATCCATTCTTCCAAAACAGTTACCCGTATGCCAGCTGGTCCTCTCATAAAACCAGACCTCAGGTAAGGTCCTGATGTATACCTTGCAAAGGTACTGAATTAAGTATCCTTCTATTGGGAAATGAAAGGTTGATGTCCTGTGAAGGAAAATTTAATCACCAGTAAAGTGGGTGAAGTAAATATTGTTTTTGTTTGTTTGCTTTCTTTTTGTTTTTGAACTAGTGGGGTGAAAAGAAAAAGGGAGAAGGTGCTCTTTCCACGCTGCCTTTAGACAGCTCAGCACATCCAGAGTGTGCAAAGATGTAGCCCTGCTAAGCTAGGACAAGAAGTTCTGTAAGAAATATTCATATGCTCTGAGGTGTCGCATTTCTATCAGTAGCAGAATATCAGTTTTCTTACCTGTATTGAAGTGGGGAACTGTCTTAATCAATTTTCTCGAGTACAAGTCTCAAGAGTACTATTTTCTCTCCGTTGAAGTTTAGTCCCATTCAGTCTTAATGTCGTTAGTAGCAGGATTATTCTTAAAAGCATCCCTAAAAAATAATTAGCTACCTCACCAGAAACTGCTAGAATACTCCCTCACTCGCTAGAAATTCTGTTTCGTGGCATTCTTGTTTGGAACATCCTATGCAATTAACAGTTTTCTAGTTCCTGTGAGGGGTGGAACGAATGACGGGTGAACATGGATGTAAATATCACGCTCATTTGTTTCAGGAATGGTAAAGCCAATACTTAATTTGATAGGGCAGGAAAGGAAGTAAGATCCTTCTCCCCTCCTATGATGCCCCCATATTTTATTTCTGAACTAAAAACCCATAAATAATAGGTCCAGGAATAGGGTAATAAAATGGTTCAGTTTTATAAATGGTGATATGTAGGAAGCACTATAGCATTGGTGACTTCTAGTTTTGGGTTAAACTATTGAAGGCTTTGCTGCCAGGAGGCAGAGTTGTTGGCTCTGTCCAAAGTGTCTCAGTTGGCATTCTGTCTGGCCCCCAGAAGGGTGGCCAGATAATGAACGTGGACATTACTCTTCTCAGTTCAAAATGAGAAAATCACTTTCCATTGTTTTTTGGAAGGTAGAGGCCATCAGACTCACTGCCATTTTAGCCTGCCTCTTACCATGGGTGTGATCCCAAATCTAAGAGCCCAGCCATAAACACTGTCAGTCTGGCATCTTCCAGGATTAAAAAACAAACAAAAAAACTGACAGTTTCCTATTTGTGAATACTCTGGTTATAGTGAGCTGCAAATCATTCAACAGCTTTCCTTTGGTAACCTCACAAGACAGAGTAGCAGCACAGAAGGTGTCATTTTTAGAGTTTCAGGTAGGTTTGTCTCATTCAGCATCTAGACTCTGGTAACAAAATTGTGATTAGAAATGCTCCAGAGAAGGAAAAGGGGGCGTTCACTCACCTTTGGACATTTTAGAACTCAAATTCTGTATCTTGCAAGCGGCTGAATCCTTTCTAAATGGCCTTTGTGAAGGTATCACCAGGCAAAGGGAAATGAGACAGGCACTCAGATGTTATTATTTCTGAAAAATGTGTGCTCACAGAATCCCTTTTGGTCAAGCTGTCATATCTCAGACTCAAAGCACTCCATGGCAGGTGGAGCAGTAAGGCATTAACTCTTGGCCCCGAGCCTTGCTTCATACCTGATGACTTCAAAACAGAGAGTTGTAGGAAACTGCGTCCAGTATGAATTAACTCCTGCTTTGGAGTGTGTGGAGGTATAGAAAGCGGTATGAAATTATGCTCTAGAAAACCCCAGATGTACAGGCCGGGACTAAGTGTGTGACTTGAACAGCAATGTATCATTCTTACTAAGTTAGGAGAGCCTCCTCAAATCCCCAACTAAATTGTTGATTGTTACAGACCATCGTAACAACAGGAGAAGGAGTTTCACTGGAGAACCAAATAGTTAACCTGCCAGCACATTTGTTTTACATTAGCTGCTAACACTTTCCTCCATCATACACAATCCATCTGAGTACAGGACATAACAGTATAACTGATGGCCTCAAAATTATAATCAGGTCAGTAAACTGCCTGATTTACTGACTCGACATGTCCAAACAGTCACACACTGGAGGAGGGGGGCAGTGAGGAAACGTGTGTTTACTAACTAGAAATGCTATTTGCCCACACAAATAAACAACTATTATAACCTGTTTTTCATTGCCCTTATGGCATATAGTTTAAAGTGTATGTTTTCTGCATTAATAGGCAAAGATTTCACTGTTCACCATGGAGGCAAACCAGGAAGCTTCCCTTCTCTATAGGAAGGATTAGAGGAAAAGTCTAAGCAGGTATCTGAATATCCTAAAGCAAAAGGATATTCAAGAAAGAGAGGTCTTCCGAGAGTTAATTGGGGATCAATCTCTATAGCAGTGGCTGAGACTGTGGCTAAATCTCTTTGCTGTGATCCATGCAGTAAGAAAACTAGAAATGCAGTAAGATAAGGCTTCCTTCCAACCCCTGTCTGTCTTCCACACATGCATACACCCACTAATGTGCAACTACAGTGCTTCTTGGCATAGACAACACACTCTTTTATCTAATATAATATTTAACTAGAGAAAGGACATTATTTTCTAAGAGCAACCTCTATAAGACAGAGGCTACATGACTCACCATGATCCAACTCCTTCTTTTCTATCAAAGTAGGTCCCGTTGGGAAAGACACACTTAGAAAATCATGTTTTATATTCCTATGTGGACTTTTTAGTGACAAAGTTAATTTTACTCATGAGAGTTATTTTGTGAATATGTTTTTATGTACCATCATTTTCTAAATGTACCGGATTTAGCATGGCTGAGGTAATACGACTATCATCTCAAAGGAATACACTTTAGTCATAAAAAGCATTCTTTTGGGATTGATGACTTTCAAATATCTTTGATTACTTCAGGGGCTCAGCACACTCCCTTTTCAATAGGCTTTTGTTTCCCTACCAGAATGCCTATTTGTACTTATATGCATCTGACATATTTTCCTCCAATTCTTAAAAATAAAGGCCTTTCTTCTTTTCCCAGCCCACTTCTTCATCTGTTCCCTTAAATCCGTCTCCTTCCCCATCTGTAGACATTATGTTTACTAACATTTCTCTCTCCTACATCATTAATTTGTTGTCTCTACTGGCTCTTTTTTTTTTTCTTTTTAAGAGACTGACATGTATCACATTCTCACCCTTCCTGTCTTGACACTGTGTCTCCTCTCTGACAGTGTAAAATCTCTCAGCTCTCATCTCATGTAAATTTCTTACTATATCTTTACTCTTCTTTTCCTATAATATTAACTATATTCTATTCCTTCATTTACCCTTCTGTCCTCAATTCGCTGTGATTTGCTTTCAGCCTCCCACACTTTGGAAATGGCTCTTGAAGACTATGAACTAATATCTAATTACCAGTTCCAGGGAACATTTTCCAATTTTCAGTTTCTGGATTTCTCACATGCATGCTCACCTACTCTATGTGCTTGGTGTTGGTACCACCGTTTTCTCTCAGTTGCCTTCTTCTGCCTGTGACCATTTATGCTCCTCCTAATTCTTCAGATGTTGGTGAAGCTCAGGCTTCTGCTTCTGCCCAATGTCCTTGTTGTTTCACGTGTCACCTAGCTCCAGCCCTTTCCTTGATGACTCCCAGTGCATATTCTTAGGTTATGCTTTCTTTAAGTTTCTCTAGGTAAGCTTGCTGAACATCTGGGACATTCAGATGTCCCAAATACTCCTTAAACTCCGTATGTCTGTCCCAAATTAAACTGATCAGTTCCCCCAACTAGAATTTAAGCTCACTCTTCCACTAGTTTTTTTTTGGTTTTTTTTTTGTTTGTTTTTGTTTTTATCAGAAATTCAAAAGTGCCAAAATTTGTAAAGAATAATTTAACAATTGACAGTGTATCTGAGTGGTAGAGAGATACTTTTTAGGTCCAGGTTCAGAAATAGGACAATGTTGTTCCTGTTCCCAGCTTTATATAAGAAGAAGAGCAGATCTGATTTCCAACTATATTCCAAGAAGCCCTATGACTCCTGGCTTTGGATAGATATAAAACCCCAGTCTTTAATTAAGGAATTTCATATCTATTTCCCCCTTTGTCTTAGTCTTCTCTTACCACTTCCCTCAAACCTCACTCATGAACAACAATCTGGCTCCTGGAGACTTTTTAAAATTAAATATAGTTACCTAGACTTCTATGTATTTGCAGTTTTTGAGTGTGAAGAACTAATGGAGAGTGGAGAGGGGTGTTCTTTTATCTGCTTTGCTTGAATTGCCAATTTACATGGAAACCCCAATGGGTACCCAGTGAATCAGTGAGCTCCAAACTTTTCTCAGCCCCCATTATGCAGTAATCATCCTACAGTCTTACAGTAAGAGAGTTAATTTTTAATTAGTAATCAGAATAGTAACTGGCATGAAGTAGTCTACAGGCATGAATAGCAATTGATGCCTGTTAAAATTAACTTTATTGAAGAATAATACTTACATTCAACAAAATTAACCCATCTTAAGTATGAAGTTCAATGAGTTTTGAACTCATTGTATCACCACACTGACCAAAATTAAGAAAATTTTACCATATCTCAAATTTCCCTCACACTCTGTATTAGTTTGCTAGGGCTGCCATGGCAAAGCAGTACAAACTGGGTGTCTTAAACAACAGAAATGCATTGTCTCATGATTCTGGAGGCTCGAAATCTGAGATAAGGTGTTGGAAGGGTTGGTTCCTTCTGAGGGTTGTGAAGGAGAACCCATTCCATGTCTCCCTCCTAGCTTCCATTGGTTTGCTGGCAATCTTTGTTCCTTGGCTTGTGGATGCATCACCTGATTTCTGCCTTCATCTTCACATGACATTCTCTCTGTGTGCCTGCCTGTCTCCCTGTCCTAATTTCCATTTTATAAGACCATGGGTCATATTGGATGGGAGCTTAATGGTCTCATCTTAACTACATTTTGCAAAGACCTTATTTCCAAATTAGGTCATGTTGTGATGCACTGGAGTTAAGACTTAAATGTGTTTTTCACCATCACTCTCCTTTTCCTAAGGGCATTCTCCAATAT